GAAATTCATCAACCTAGATGAGCTGGACAGATTCTTAAAAATGTACTGTCATCTAAGACTGAATAGGAAAAAAATAGAAAATCTGACAAACCAATCACAAGCTGTGGAAATTAAAACTGCAATCAAGACTCCCCCTTTAAACAAAGCCCAATAACAAGTGGATTCACAAATGATCTATACCACTTTCAAAGATAAGCTACTACACTTCCTTTCAAAAACAATCAAACACAAAACCAAGAAGGAACACTTCCAAACACGTTATGAGGCCACCATCAAGCTAATACCAAAACTAAACAAAAACAACACAAAGAAAACTACAAAACACAGATGCAAAAAGCCTAAATAAAAATTTTAACAAAATTCAATCTAAAAATTCATTAAAAAGATTATACACCGTAATCAAGTAGGATTTATGCCAGAAACACAAAATAGTTCAACATTTGAAAATCAGTTGATGTAATTAACTATGTTAAACAAAAAGGAAAGTTAAAAACCATTTGATCATATCAATTGATGCTGAGAAAGTACTTGGTAAGATCCAGCATCCTTTTGTGATGAAAGCTCCTGAGATTGGAAATAAAAGGAAAATATCTTAATGCAGTAAAAGCCATATATGATAAACTCTTAGCTAGTATCATTCTCAGTAGTGAAAATTTGAAAACCTTTCTACTCAGAACTGGTATAAGACAAGAATGTCCACACTCACCACTATTATTCAACATAGTATTAGAAACCCTAGCTAGAACAATTGGGCAAGAGAAAGAAACCAAATTAGGGGGAAGAAAAGCAAAGCTATCATTGCAGATGTAATAACATTGTAATACATATGTAGAACCCCAATGTATCAAGAGCTGAACTAATTGAAACAGTTCCACAAAGTGGAAGAACAATATCAACATAGAATGGAATAACCTTTTTATATACAAACAGTGAGCTAGCAGCAGAAGAAATTAACAAAGCCATTCCATTTATAAACTCAGCCCCTAAAAATTAAATACCTGGGAATTAAACCTAATAAAGGATGTAAAGGATAAACTAAAAAAATAAAAAAATAAAAAATAAACACTGCAAAAGGAAGTAGAAGAAGATACAAAGGAACTGAAAGATATTACTTGCTATTGCAGAAGATTAATCAACATTATCAAAATGGCCATTCTATCTATCTATAAGCTAAAGTAGCTTATAGATTCAGTGCAAACTCAATAAACATCACAATGGGATTCTTAAAAGTAGAACAATATTACTGAAATTCACAAAGAGCCTCCCCCCTCCTCCTCCCCAAATAAGCCAAAATTCTGACTAAAGGGAAAAAAATGTAGGTATCACTCTTCCAGAATCTAAACTGCACAACAAAACCACAACAATAAAATAGTCCTGGAGTAAAAAGAAGCACACAGACCAATGCTTTAGAGTTGAGAGCCCAGAAATAAAATCACACATTTATAAGCAACTAAACTGCAATAAAAGAGGGAAATAAACATGCCGGGAGAAAGAAAACCTCTTCAATAAATGATGTTGGGAAAATTGGACTGCCACATGCAAAAGAATGAAACTAGGTCACTCATACCATACACCAAAATCAACTCAAAATGGATTAAAGAGTTGGATTTAAGATTTGGAACCATACAGTATAAGAAAGCTCTCCATGACATAAACTTCAGCAACATCTTTGAATATTCATCTCAGCAAAAAAGTAAAATAAAGGACAGTTTAAACAATAGGGGCTACAACAAACAAAAAAGCTTCTGTATACCAAAAGAGACAGTAACCAAAACAAAGAGACTTCCAACTAAATGGAAGATACTTACATTTGATGAAGATCTGCAAAGAACTCATACAGTGTAATAAAAAAACAACCAACAACAAAGACCCCAATCAAAAAATGGGCAGATGAAACTGACAGATGCTTCCCCAAAGTAGACATGCATATGGCCAGTAGGCAAATGGAAAAATGCTCACAATCAATTATCACAGAAATGCAAATGAAAACCATATTGTGATAACACTTCACACCTCTGAGAATATCCCATATTACAACACCCAGAAGCAACAAGTGCCAATGAGGATGTGAAAAAAGAGGAATCCTCTTACACTGTTGTTGGCGATTAGACTGGTCCAGTCCCTTTGGAAAACAGTTTGGAGGTTCCTCAAAAGACTAAAAATGGACCTACCATATGACCCAGCAATTCTACCTCTAGATGTCTACCTATGGAACTCAAACAATAATTTGAAAGGAAATCTGTACTCCCGTGTTTATAGCAGAACTATTTGCAATAGCCAAGATCTGGAAACAAGAAAAATGCCCCAGGGCAGATGATTAGATCAAGAAAATGGTATATTCACATACACAATGGAACGCTACTCAGTGGTCAAAAAGATAAATTCATGCCGTTTGTGGTAACATGGCTGGGTCTGTAGTGGATTATTCTGAGTGAAACTAGCCAGACAGAGAAAGGTAACTGGATGATTTCACTTATATGTGGAACATGAAAAACCAAATGACAGAATTTTAAACCAACCCTTGAAGCTTACCATGGATCTGAAACATCCAGGATAGGAGGTGGAGTGGGACAGAGAAAATGAGGGGAAAAAAAGAGAAGCGTGAGTGCAATAGACTGGTGGAGGATGGTGGTGGCCTGACACCCCAGGGAAAAAGGTCTTTATTGTGAAAAAATTTGAGCACTCATGTAAAATAATGGAATTTCATTAATAAATGAATGATCAATGAATGGATGATAATATGATTTTACCTTCAGGAATGCTGAGGTACATTATTGCAAATTTGAGGGGATTACTTTCTGCAGGTAAATAATCCTAATATGTCTTTGATTCATTCGGAAAAGTAAGCCTTTTGTACTAAATGAAATTACAAACAATTAAATAAATCTTCAAAAAATAATTAACATCTCCCTGTGGCCTAATTTTTACTTAGAAGCAGCTAGCTGCTCTGTTACTTTCTCAGTCAAGAGAGAAATGCTCTTCTGGTTTTTATTTTACTTGCAGGAGAAAGAAGAAATAGTATTTTATTAAAATAGATGAATATTTGTAGCTAAATTATTCTAGATTCTTTTAGTTTTGTTCTAGTTTTGGAAAGACCATGTTTTTTTTTTTCTGACTTATTTTTCTTTTTTGATACTTTTCTTATTTATTTATGCTTTCAAGAGCTGGGGTGTAAGCTAAAGATGTGGTTGAAGGGATTCACCAGAGTCAGAGTGGAGAGCTGAGAGGAGCATTGGGTTAGACAGGAGAGGTCTGCTGTGCCATGTGGGTCAGCTCCCTGCCTGGGAATGAGCTGTTGTCACAGCGGCTGATGATAGTTTGATAGTGTTGAGATGTTAACCCTGTGCAACCAGGGAGCCCCTTCTTGGTAGGACTTAGAGAACAGCTCACTGAGCTGATTTTACTATAGTTGTGCTTCTTCCTCTGTAATATATCAATGCCTAGTTCACTGTTAATCATGATACAATTTGCTTTTATTAAAACACTTATTTCTGACATCAGGGGAAAAAATAGAGCATAGAGCAAAATCATGCTAGTTCTACTGCATTGCTGTATATCAAAGAGGGGTGACCTAATGATAAATAGCCTACTTTGTTGACATTCACCATAATATGTTAAAATGATCATCATTCTTCTAGCAGTGGCATATGAGATCTGTTGTTAGAAAAGGAGCTAACTATAGTATACAGTTTTTTTAAAAAAAGATTTATTTATTTATACATACAGAACTGGGTTAGAGGCCACAGGTGCAGGGCAGTGAGAGGATTCACGACATACAGAGTGGGGACCAGAACAGGCAGATCAATGAAGTACACTGCTGAGGGGAGCAGAGGGCGGGTCAAGAGAGGTCTCCTGTGCCAAGTGGTCACCTCCGGAGCAGGCAGGGATCGAATTCATGCTGCAGTGGCTTTAGCTTCTTAGTGCAGTGCTTTAACCCACTGTGCCACCAGGGAGGGCCCTAGTATACATTTTTAAGGCAATAATTGATACATTTTATCAAATGAAGATGATCACCATCTACTTTAATTAATATTAGTGACATAATGAACAAGCTTTCATTTTTCGGTAGTGGGATACTCTGATCCACCTTTTGAAGGTCACTTTTCTATAATAAAAATGTAACTTAATGACAGAAGAATATCTTAACCTGGTTTAATAGAGTTTAGGTCTTCTTTCTTTTTAAAAGCAGGAGACATAAACTATGGTCAGTTGGTTTCAAGTAAGACCTTAGACAAATCATACATCTGAGGCATATAGCAAGGGAGAAAAGAGGGAATGGAGAGGGTCAGGAGAGGCTAGGGAAGTTCCAGGGGTCCTGCTCATGCTTCTCATATGCTGTGGTGGTGGGAGATTAAGGGCAGAAATCAACTATTATACAAAAATAAACAACAATGTAAGGAAATAAAATAGCTTAATCAATAATAAATAAGCAAGATCTTACACTATAAAGCTTCGTCCTGAGTACAGTATATGTTCTGGATGTTTGTTTAGTTGGAGGCATCGTTGACTCAAGTGCCCATGCTGGCATTATTAACACATGGCAGAATAAAGAAGACATGTGCCTACCTTAATCTGTGCTTCCTTGAATCTAAGTGGCTGTTTCATAACTTGAAAGGATTTCTTGATATTAAAAGTTGCTTTGCTCTGTAACAGTGAATTTAGAAAATCTTTGGTTGAATTTTCTAGTATAGAAATATTCTTTAAAAGTTTAAAGGAAACTTTAAAATATCTTTAGAAGTTAATGTAGAAAATATTGTATGCTATTTTTAAAGCAATTGGCTTACTTCCTTAAAAGAAGGAGAAATTTGCACATAGGATTTTTTTTTTTAAACTGCAGTGTTTCTACATCTGCTGGGAAAATGGAGTTTCACTGTTACAGAATTAGTACATGTTGCCAGAACACAGGATTAGCTGAATAGTTAAATACTTAATTATCAAAAGCGCTGCTTCCTTTTCAAATGCATTTCCAATTTGTTTCATGAGTTATCTCTCTCACCCAGGCGCATTGATGATGACAAGGGAAGGACCCATGAGCTGGAGCACTCGGCTATAAAATGTATGAGAGGGATTCTTTACTGCTATATGCGTCAGGCCGATAAGGTAAAACACTGTGGTGTGGACTGGAATTCTCACAGCATTCTGAAGGATTAATTTAACCAATATAGCAATAGCATCTTCTGAAGAAGAATGTGCTTTGAAAAGGTAAAACCACATCACAGGGCAGTCTAGATAGGTTGAAACAACCTCAGCCTTCCCAGCCCAAGGTTTAGATATCCTGAAATTGAAGAAACACTGTAAGCAAGAAGTGATTGAGAATTGCTATTTAGGTTTGAGTTTGTTTGTTATTTTGCCTCTGGTTTTTGCTTGATAACGACTCAATTTCTCAGGAATCTCACAGTTCGATAATTCTAACCAGATTTATGTTACTTAAGAAACTTATTTAAATTCCTTTTAGACATGTGACTACTCTGGCTTTGGTGAATGTTCACTAGAAAATATGATGCTTCATTCATTTACATGTTAGGATTGCAGGAATTACAGACTCAGAAAACAGCAAACTTTATAGGGTTATTGTGGAAATTAAAGAGTGTATCTCTGCTTGGAGGTTTAAATTTGTAAACCTTCAAGCTAATAACAAACCCTAGGAAATTTGGTGTAGCATCAAGACTGTAAGACCAGGCAGAGAGGAAACAGAGAGCAGAGGGCTGAGGCATTGTGGCAGAGGAGAAGCTGCCTACGTGGTGGGTGTGGGTGAGGGTGAGGGCATAATTCTGAAACAGTGTGATGGATGCCTCTGAATCACATACAGTGTTGCAGACCAATGGTACCTTAAAAAAAAAAAAAGAAAAGAAAATGGATACAAATGCAAATGGAGACAAATTCTAAAGCTCTGTACAGCTGTAATGTGACATTGTCCATTCACCTACACTTTCATGTCCGCTGATCCAAATGTAGGGTATCTGCATGAGCACATCATTGTGTCATGGACTCCCAGACCACCCATGTTTGGTGAGTTGATGAACTTACTTGGCTCAACAGTGAGTCATGGTCATGGCCATGGTTCATTACAGGGAAGGGGTCTGTAATACAGGCAGGAGTTCCCAAGAGTCTGCTCCCAGTGAGCTCACAGATGCACTTAAAGCCTGTGTCATTTTGCCTCTGGTAAAATGTCTACCTGGAATGCTCTTTAGAGACCTGTCCCACATTCTTTGCTGTCCGGTCATGTAGTCACCCTCTACCAAAACGCCAGACTCACGGGATTTAGCATATACAATATTTGTTTGTATGAGCAGCTCAGGCACAGTGAGCCTTTCTGTTCAGGGGATGGTGGAGAATCCTGGAGTCTAGTTTTCCATGCTTGCTGCAAACACCAGCCTTACAAGTAGTCTTTGTAAGGCAGCCATCTTAGGCTTTGTTTATGAATTTTCTGGACAGTCAGCATAAACTTCCCATGCTGTTTGCTAGTCTGTTTCAGATGTGTGATGTTGGGTAAATTGCTTAACTTCTAATGCCTCAAAGTTTTTCAACTATAAATTGTGCATAATAGTAGTGTCTTCTCCACAAGTAGGGTTCTTGTGAAATTAAGAAATTTTATAAGAACACATATAGCACAGAGTCTGCACCAGATGAGAATATAGTAATTAGTTGTTATATCACTCTGGTTACTTCTCCTTTCTAAACCACCTGCTTCAGGTATGTTTCTAGTATACATATTAGTAAAGATGCATCAGTAATTATGCAGGCAGCTTTGATCACTTAGTATTTTATGTGTCTTTATCGTGTGACTATTAAGTTTTAATTTATGCTTGAAGAGGATAAAACTTACAGCATAATTTCTTCTTAGGACCTTTATTTGAAGTCTTTTCTGCCACCAGAAAAGACAAGAAGAAAATATTTGTTGGAAGAAGAATTAAAGTTATTCTCAAGTTGTAATAGATATAAGTGACTAAATTATAATTTGTCTCCTGAGATTTGACTTTAAAAATTATTATTATAAAAGTTTTCAGTGTTTGAAATAATGTATCATAAGTTACCATACTTGAATTAAACTAGTTTATCATATACATTGAGTTGTGAGGAGAGTTATTTTTGCCTAAGTGGGAAAAGCTTACTGTTTATTTCACATTTAGCATTTCTGAATTTATGTCGTTTTTGCATTCAGTTTTTCCCTCAAGGAAACATTGTGTCAGTCATGAATTTCATGTCTTTGCTAAACAAATGGACGTATTTGAATTCTTTATCAGAAAGAAGAAATGATGGAAAGTTGTCCCTTTGTGGGTTCAATACCCAGTTGTTCCTGGCCTTTTCTGAATGTTATACATCCTCACTAGCAAGTTTTCACAATGATGTATTCTTTTCAATATAGTTTTAATGTGACTTAGGTATCTTGAATTCTTTAAATTATAAAGGGGGTTACTTTTCATTTACTGATTTTCTTCATTCTCACACACACACACACACACACACACAATGAATATTTGAATTATTATTCATTTTTGTAAATTTGTTTTCTCTCAGGTGTAGTCCCCATGAAATTTCCACCACTGGTTCACCCAACACCATCACCATAGTCCCTTGTGCTCTTCCCTCCCCTGTTTTCATTGCTCTCTCTCCCCCCTCCCTTGCAGACTGTCTCTGATTTATAGTTACCTGCTTATTTTATTTTTTATTATTATTGTTAATTATTTCCCTGATCCCTTATTTGGTTTCTCTCCACTCCTTCAATAAGTGAAACCATCCAGTATTTCTCTTTCCTTTATGGCTTATTTCACTGAGCATAATCTCTTCCAGCTCTATTCATGTTGTTGCAAATGACATGAGTTTATCTTTCTTGATTGCTGAATAGTATTCCATTGTGTATAACTACCACATCTTCTTGATTTAATCATGAATTTTTGGGCATTTGGGTTGTTTCCATATCTTTTTCCTCATATAGGTATGATGGTAAGCTATAAAAATAAGAGTGTGTTCTAAGAAGATATGAACCATGTAAGGATTAAGTATTCATGCATACCATTTGCAGGGTTTGGCAAATTGTAAAGCATGTTTTCATTTTTGTAGTAGGAAAAGAGGATAGGTCTATAATCTGCATATGATTATGAGGGTCTGACTGAGAAAGACTAAAGCAAATGCCTAGCTCAATGCCTACAGACATCTATGATGCTCGCCACTTCTGTCATCATCCCATAGCTATGGTGAATGTTACCATTTTACAATGTGAAATATTGCATATCTGTGTGTATATAGATATGTGTATGCTTTTTGCTTTCTGTCCTTAATGAAGGGCATTTATAGTTTTGTTTGCTGTTTTATATTGAAGCTCTTCTTCATCTTCTAAAGTAAAATTATGACTTAGAAAATCATATTTTCCCCCTTTTTTGACTTATCATAAGAAATACTTAATGACATACTTTCTAAAAATCCTAGCTTAAAGATACTTTCAATTTATGCATTTGAGTTAATTGATTTGCAGAATGTAGAGCAATCTGATTTCTATTATTGTCTTGCCATTACCTTATTGCCTACTTAATAACATTAGGTATTTTTTACCTCTAAATGTTAATATGCCTATTTGCCTATTATTTTCTTTTCTAATACTCCTTTAAGGGAAGTAGTCAGAATTTTAAACAACCAATTTAATCTGCTGTTAATAGCTTGGAGGGAATAAATTTACTTCACAATATGGTGTGAAGGTTGCTGTTCCTAATTTTCTACTTAAAATAGTTATTATTTAAAATCTAAGCAGTTTTTTTATTCACAAAAATAATTAAAACTTTATAAAATTTATTCTTATAGAATTCCCATATGAGGAGATTTTTCTACCTGAACATAAATAATTTAAGGCTGTCCATTAAGGATCAAGTGCAGATTATTCAGTTACCTTTTCCTACATGGTAATCTGTTGGTTCATAAAGATTAAAGTTTTCAGGGGGGAAAAAATCTAAATAAAACACAAGCAGAGAAAACATTCTAGATTTTTTTTTAATCTAGAAAATTTGCTTTGATCATTATCTTTATTTTTACTTACCAGATGTCATACTTCATATGAAATGCTTCTCTTTTTTGGTTTTGACTGCTTTAAAGAGTATTTTTCCCGTCACTATGTCCCATTAACTTACAATATTAATTCAAGTTGGAGTCTTTTATTTTTTTCTGAAATTTTAAATTGTCTTTTAACAGCTTTAAGACTCAAACATACTTACATAATTCCCCACTGGATCATCTTTAGTCATTTAGTAGTTGCTTTTCCCCTGACTCAGTGATGTAATATATTTTCTCATGCTGAATACTTGTGTATTTTGAAGATAAATGACAAACAGTGCTGTTAATTGAAGCACCTCATTCTGCCCATAAAGCCTTTCCTTTTTACATTCTTACCAAGTGGGCAAAATGTGTCTGTTTGAACGTAACCATATTTTATATAAGAGCCCAGAATAACGTTCATTGTTTTCAGGTAGTAATTGTGATCATTTGAGAGAAATGGCATATTTATCTCTATTAGTGTTGTCTTAACATGATTGTCAGTGAGTTGATATTGCAAAAGTCTAGCCTTCTTGCTTTCTCTGAGTTGACACTCTGGATGGCTTGGTCAGTTTATGTAGGTAGAGAACATACTTCTCTGCATTTGCCCTCATTCTGTCTTGCCTGATATCCTGATGGTGGATTCTGACTCTCCTTTGTTGACTTTCTCATAGGGAGCAGTATTGGTGCATGGTCTTCTGATGGTTAGGAGGATGTACAAAGTTGTATGAGTCCTCTAGAATAGCAGTGTTTATTAAACATTCTGTGATGATAGAAATGTGCTTTATTACTGTGTTGAATAACATAGCTGTCCCTAGTCACATGTGGCTGTTGGCTATTTGTACTTTTGTTCTTTTGCAGTGTGGCAAATGAACTGAATTTCTAATTTTATTTAATTGTAATTCAATTAGTCAAACATAGCTAATGGCTGCTGTACTGGATAGTGTAGCTTCCAGAAGACTATAAGATAGTCTGAGATACAACTAATAAAAACATAATGCCTTTCACATCCTGATGTGAAAGGCCAGAGGAGAGAATTTTATTTGGGGTTCAGAGGATACTTTATAAAAGAAGTTTTCTGAGCTACGCTTTTGAGGATAAGTAATATTTGACATTAGAGAAGAGAATGCGGTTTATGTGGCTATTAAGTTAACGAGGCAAGAATGCTAAACATTCAGATGCTGTTGTTGCCTTTACATAGTGTTATATGTTTTTCTATACATTCTCTATTCCTATTCATCTCATATTTGCAGCAACCAGCACAGAACAGTCCTTCCTCAATTCATGATGGTATTCTGTCCCAGTGAACCCATTGCAAATTGAAAATAACAGAAGAAAATGGTGGCCACACAGTATACTCTTGTCTTCATGAGGCTGACTAGATGCTGTATGCCTTGCTGTTCTAGCATCACGAGAGTATTGGACTATATAATTCTAGCCTGGAAAAAGATAAAATTAAAAAAATTGAAGCACAGTTTCTATTGAATGCATATAGCTTTTGCACTATTCTAAAGTTGGAAAATCTTAAACTATCCCATCCTAAATTGGCATCAGTCTGTGTTTGCAAATTAAACAGGCCCTTTAAGATCCTTTTTGTTTTTAGCATTTGTCTGTTAGATCACTTTGAGTTTACTTAGTATCTTAAAGTTGTTAAATTTTACTTTCATTAACTAAAGGTGAGGCTAATGTTCTCTTGGAATTTGTGTCTTAGTAATTAGTGTGCAGAAACAGAAATGAAAACATTGGACAGGAACATATGTTCTACTTTGTGATCCTCAGAGAAGTACCACTTGAAGCTTTGAACACTCACTGAATTAGAATGTGGCTGGAGCACTTTTTCACAGAGTGCCACAGAACATCTCCAAAGAGCCATCTCCCATACACTGGACCATGACACGACGCTGAAATATGACCCAGAAGAGCAGAGTTATCGCTTCCACTGTAACGTGTCCCCCATCGCACTGAGTTACAGTTTGTGAAATATCAATTCAGTATTTATCACATTATGAGTGGTTATGAGTTTTCTGTTTTGTTTTATTTTTAGACATTTCTCTTTTTCTGTTCTCTACCTAAAAGCTACACCTTCACTCATCAAAAGGTTTCATGAAAATTAACTAACTTTGGACGAGGATGTGAATGGCTGGCAATGCTTACATTTTAATTTTGTGTCTAGGTGCAGCAGTTTAAGCAGGATCCACGCCCAACAACTTGTCTTCACTCGATCTTCAATGTGCACACAGGGGATGAGATGCTCTCCTGTGAGGAATATGGTCATCTGCAGGTAAAGATAGGTTGCATGCAGAGTTTTTGCTTTTGTGTTTATACTCTTCATTATAGAAAATTTGAGGCTCTGTGCAGTTTTTAAAAAATTGATGTCATAACTTGTTCAAAATAAAAGAAATGAACCATAAACCATGAAATAATATAAAGTGCTAACCACAAGGACTGAATTGGTCGTTGACTGTACCTTAAATCTGACCTGATCCTCAAGCCGAAAGGATGAATTAGTGTTATTGCTATCCAGGAAACCAGATCACCTACAGTTTCTTCAGTGAGTAAAGCTTATATTTGGTATCAAATTTAGAAGAATCTCAATACTTAGAAAATAGGAACTAAGACAATTTATAGTGATGTGACTATAAATCAGAAGTTTTTGTTATGTGACGGTTCATTTTTAGCATAACAACCTTCAATAAAGCTAAAACTTTGCACTAAAATGTAATTTCAGAAGGCATTTTGAAGTTTATAAATATTGTTTTATACTGCATATTAAGCTGGACTAAGAATATTGTTTTATACTGCATATTAACCTGGACTAAGAATACATTGTCATATTTTATGCTTTGTTTTTACTTTGATTTTCCTTTCACATCTTTCTACTGCTTTAGCAGGACAGTAGTACTTTGTTTTAGGATATAACTATATACTGTATATTTAATGGATTTTCTTCCCACTTATCATTTGGTTCTGTTATATATAGAACAGAATACATATTATTCATATATTCCTTCCTAAAATAGTAGTATCTTCTTTTTGTAGTTCCCTTCTCTCTAGAGATCTGAAATCTCTAACTTCAGTATGACTCCTCCGATCACAGAAAGAGCAGTGTTCGCATTTCTATGAAGCAGAAACTCATACTTATTTATAACCAGTTTTTTGAGAATTAGTGTTATATGAATATGTTGGGGCTTTTTATACCTCTTTATAATGTTCACATACTAGGTTTTATGTACCTTTTGCTGACAATATGTTTGCTGTCTGAAACAGAGTTTTTAGGAGGTAATGGCTCATTTGTTTTTTGTCTCCCACAATTTAAGCTCAGTGCCTGTTACATAATAGGTGTTAAATAAAAGCCAGACAACCTGTTATTTATCAGTTTCTTTACAATTTGTCACTTTCTGATAGTTTTCACACAGAAGTATCTCAAAAGATAGAGCAGAGAGCTCTTGGAGATGTAGCTGAAAAATGGTTGTCCATAGGATTGAAATTCCTTTGATGTCATTTCTGACATACCAGTGTTGGTGCTTTAAAAAACTATTTGGATGAGCCTGACTGTGTGATGACTGTATTGTCCACCATTTTCTGAGAAAGTTCACTTAAAACTTTATGTCAGCCTAAATACTTAAAGCCAGATGCTAACCTTTGGCAATCACCAGTTACTTTCTATCTCTATAGTCTGATTATTGTGTGCATTTCATCATAAATAAAATCGCCCAAAACGTAGTTTTTGTGACTGGCTCCTCTCATTTTAATGTTTGCAAAGTTTATCTATGTTGGTAGCATTTATCTTTCACTGCTTGTTACTTGAGTCAGTTTACACATCCCATTCAGAATTCTGTGGGTCTCATTTGTTAAAATGAACATTATTGTCATTTTATTTTTTTTTTGGTTAGATCATCTAATCTGCCTTTAATAAATTAAGAAACTAAAAGAAGAAAAACAACTCATTTGTTTATAAATCTCATTTGTTCACAAATATATTTTAAATTACATGCTATACCACTGATTAAAATTAATGTGCTCCTGCAGTTGCTTCTATAATCTGTATTCTGAAAATTTGACTGTTTCCAAGATGCACTGTTTATTGTTTATGGTGTATTGATATAGTTTTTTTTTCTTTGTTAAGATTTATTTATTTATTCATACAGAACTGGGCTACAAGCCAGAGGTGAGATGCTTCACCAGAAACAGAGTGGGGAACAGAACAGGCAGATTGACCAAGTACATTGCTGAGGGGGAGCAGTGGGTAGGTCGGGGTAGGGATCGAACTCACACTGAAGCAGCTGTGGCTCTCTTGCTGTGCTGCGTCCTAACCCGTTGCACCACCTGGGAGGGCCCCTGTTGGCATGGTTTTAATGTCTTACTTGCCTAATCTTATCTCTCCATTTGCATACATTTTGATGGATTGATGTTCCATAGTTGCCTGTGGGGCAAAGCTATTCCAAAGCAGATGTACTGTAGACACAGGTTAGAAAATAAATCTTAGAAAACAAATATGATAGAAACAGTTGCTACCAGTTTTACTTGCAGCCATTTTTCTAGTCAGAGGCCTCACAATCAATTAATTTGAGGATTTTAAGGTTTTGTTAACAGCTCTTTCTTTTACAATGGGAAAGAAAATTTTTATACCCACTATCAGAACAAATAAGTTGTGATTTTAGCTTTTATACTTAACACTTTTGTTTCTTACGTTAACCTTTTCATGTTACTGTTTGTTTCCAGATAAATGCAGTGTCACTGTATCTCCTTTACCTTGTGGAAATGATTTCCTCAGGACTCCAGATTATCTATAACACTGATGAGGTATGATTTCCCCAGATTCTCTATAATTGAATTCACCTCAGAGAATATCTTCACATTTTTCTTAAACTTAATTTTCCATTTACAGGAACTTGTTATTCTTAAATTCTGTAATCTGATACAAGATTTTGGATATTGAATAAAAAAATCCTTCTATGTTTAAAGCAAATCACTTAAAATATGCAAAATATAGAACAGGTTATAAAACTAAACTCCTGTGAAAGCTTTTTATTCCAGATGATATGAAATAAAAACTTGTAACTTTCAGAAAATGTTAGTAGCAATGAAAGTAAAGTGAGGTCTGCAGACTCATAGTTATATCTTTTCACACTGTTACTTTTCATAAACCATCCTTTTACAAGTGAAAAGATGCCTTTACCCTATTGTTTTGTTTGTGGAACCTCAGTAGGATTGTTTTCAAAATACCATATTCTTATTCTTATTAAGAATTTGAAAAGAATTTATATCCCAGAATTGGGAAGCTAGTGTTGAACAAATTCTAATGTTGAACAAACACACGGGCACGTTTTGCAGTGGGTACATTGGAAGCAGAGTCTTATACAGTGGGAGCTTCATCGAAGAACAGACCTGCTGTGTGCTGCTAGCTCGTGCCTATTGCTACCTGTACTGGGAACAGCGGCATCGTCTACTGAACGCAGAAGCCATCTTTTTTATATTACTATTAAAGATTTCTTTACTTATGCATACAGAAATGGGGTATAAGCCAGAGGTGCAGGGGTGGTTAGGGGACTCACCGGAGACAGAGTGGGGAGCAGAACAGGCAAATACACTAAAATACACCACTGAGGGGAGCAGCAGGTGGGTCAGGACAGATCTGTTGCACCATGTGGGTCACCTCCTGGGCAGGGATTGAACTTGCACCGAAGTGACTGCAGCTGATTTGCAGTGCTTTATCCTTACCCATTGAGCTACCAGGGAGGGCCCACCCAAACCATCATTTGACTGCACTGAGGGCACTATGAATTAGACAGATGTAGTTTATAGTTATGTTAATTCCTTCCACTTATGGTTTTAATATAGTATTTCTGATTATAAGTGAAGGTAATAGAGAATAAATAATAGGGAATGAATAATACTCATTTATGATTTCTTCTGTTTGGTTCACCAGATAGTTAACATGTTTTCATTTCATCCAAATTGTTTTCATATTACTGTTACGGGGCAGGGAGAGAGGGCATCCCTGAACCCCCCAAACCTGCCTGCTCTAAACAGGTTCTGCCATCTGCTACATCAAGATAAGACATAAGAGCTTTAATGGAAAGGAACTTTAATACAATGAGTATACAATACAGAAGCCAATTTCTAATTTCATACAATTTCTAAATCAAACACCTGAAGTTACCTATCCCTTCATGGGTGGAAGTCCACCCAAAAGAGATTGGTTCAAAGCAAGGCCTGAAAGCCTACCACAAGCCTAAAGCACCTTTTGGCTGGGACCCATAGAAAAGGATCACACATGGCCAGACAAGCCTAGGAGGAAAAGAGCAAAATCAAAAGTAAGATAAAAGCTGCCATAGTCAACCTCCCCCCAGGTCTCTCACTCATATCTGTTTCACCCAGTCCAGGATCATAAGCAAGCAAAGTTTCTTCACATGTTTCTCTGTTCCATGGCTCCCTGAACAAGTCTCTGGCTCTCCATCCTGCTTTCTTCTTCTTCAGATTCCTTCTCTTCTCTCCTTCTGGATGGGGTAGGCAGCCTGGAACAAGTCTCCTTCTGGCTCTCCATCCTGCTTCCTTCTTCAGACTCCTCTTCTCTCCTCAGTTCCACCTTCCTTCTGGGTGGGGCAGGGAACCTGGAACTTCCCCTTTTCCTGGGGACCACCCTGTTACATTACTGTGAATTAGTGGTGTTCAAACATTTTGGGTAGTATAATCCTAAGAAGCATGGCTCTGTGGAGGATACCCACAGGCAGCCCATTTACTTGGCTTCTCATTGTCTCCACCCCAAGCTTCAGTGCATGGGGGGAAGTATCCCAGGTTCCAGCAGAACACTGTGTGATAACAATTTCCAATAAATAGCAGCCAAAAGTGATTTCCCACTGTTATTAATGTACTGATAAAATTGCTTTGATTAGTGGCAGCTATTTTAATTTTTAAGATTTTTATTTATTTATAAATGTTAGCTGGGGTACAACAGGCCAGAGGGGCAAGGAGTGAGAGGATTCACCAGAGACAGAGTGGGGAGCAGAACAGGCAGATCCACTGAAATGTCCTGCTGAGGGGAGCAGCAGGTGGGTCAGGAGAGGTCTGCCACACCATGTGGGTCAGCTCCCTGGCTGGGGATTGAACTTGTGCTACTATGGCTTCAGATAGCCTCACTGTGCTTTGCCAGAGATGCAAGGGTGGGTGGTGAGAGGATTCACCAGAGACAGAGTAGGAAGCAGAACATGCAGTTGTACTGAACTACTGCCAAGGGGAGCACCTGGTGAGACAGAAGAGATCTATTGCTCCTGTCTGGGGTTGAAAGCTGGTGGACTGTAGTGATAGTGCTCAGACTTAACCCCTAGGCCACTAGGAAACCCCTATAGCAATATTCTTAATGTATATTGTATATATTTTTGTTGTTCTTTGTTTTTTTTTTCTTCCCTTTGAACATCTGTATTTGAATTTAATGTCCTCATAGAATAGATTTAGAAGTATGCTTTTCTCATTTTGAAAGAGCTTTTGAAGGATTGATTTTAATTCTTTAAACATTTGGTAGAATTCATTGGTGAAGCTACCTGGATCTGAACTTTTCTTTATGGGAAGTTTATTACTGTTTTCATCCCTACTTATTTTGTGTCTATTCAGATTTTCTGTATCTTCTTGAGTCAATTTTGGTAGTTTGTAAAGTCTTTACAGCAATTTGTCCATTTCATCTAGGTCATAAACCATTTTTCTTCCTTTTCATGGTAGTATTAGCATATCCTTACTCCTAATTTTAGTAACTTGAACCATATAGACTCTTTTTTCTTGGGCAGTGTAGCTAAACATTTATCAATTTGATTCTTCAAAGAATCAATTTTTTATTTCATTGCCTTTTAAAATTATTTTCAAGTCTCTATTTGCCTTCTAATTACTATTACTTACTTCCTTCTGCTTTGTTTGGTTATGTTGGTCTTGTTTCTTAGCTATAGGTAAAAGTTTAGATTATTGATTTAAAATAATTCTGCCTTTCAAATAAAGTCATTTACTATTATAAATTTACCTCTATACTCTGCTTAGCTAGCATCTTACTACTTTTGTACTTACTCAACATATTTTTTAATTTCCCTTGTGGGCTCCTCTTTAAATTGTTGGTTTAGGGTGTTGTTTCATTTTCACATATTTTTGAATTTCCATAGTTTTCGTGGTCTTGGAGACTAGGGTTGGAGTGATCCTAATCCAATTATTGAATACAATTATTTCCATATAAAACATAGTAATATTTTACTCAACTCTAGAATTAGGTTTCTTCCCCCCTCCTTAAGCACTGTTGTATTTTTATTTGTTTGGTGTATTTCTTGAAAAAGTTTTTTGCATTTTTGTATTGTGTCATGTGAAGCCTTTGACATCTTTGACAAAACTCAGATACTTAAATTGTTTGACTGATAGGCCTTCTGATCTTTCACAATGTCCTCTCTGTATTTTTTGGGTACACCATGAAAGGTGTCACATGCAATATATAACTGTCTTTTAGGTTTCACTTTCTGCGTTTGCAGAACTTCAAATTCAGCCAGTGCTATGAGATTGTGTCTCAATTCTTGATTATGGGCACAGCCCTGCCATACACACAGCCCTCTGGCTGTATAGGAATATGCTGGCACTTTCCAAAGTCCCCTGTGTACCTCATCCCCATCATTTAGAACATTTTTTCCAGGTAGCTGAAATGTTAAGTTGTTGCCAGTGATTGTTTTCAACATTTACCTTTGGGAGGAACAATTGTGTTTCCGGAGCAGACTCCAAGTCTGGACATTTTTAAAATGTTCTGTAAGTTTCAGTTTTCAAGTAGTTGTCAGATCAAATAGTGACACTTGGCTGAGAGGGTGATTTGGGAACATTCTAGCTTGTCCCTCCTGGCAGCTTTTACTCTGCTGGCTTTCATGACGACAACCTTTGTGTGACTGGGGCTACCACAGCTGGGAGGCGGGGAGGGCTGGAGCTCATGCTACCTGAAGTGTCAGTCATTTTTCTTGATTAAATGGCCTTGGATCGTTGTAACTCTTGTTTACAAGGGCTCTTGTTAATACCAGAGCCCTGAAAAAGTTGATTTTGATGGTCTTTGTTAGTAATCTTGTTACTTTTATGGATGAGTAGATTTTCTAAGACCTTTGCCATTCTGAGGATTGCATTCCTATTTGTAATTATTTTTAGTGTAGCTTTCTATTTATACTTCTTTCTCCCCACACACAGCCTTTTATCTTGCAGTTCATTCTATACAATCAATTAAGATGGGACTCCTAATGTATTTTTAACTGCATTAAATACTTCAATATGCTTCAACCATTTTGCCACGTTTAAACATCTGTGTAACAACACATTTAATGGCTGGCCTGTCTTATAAGTTAGAATTATGCACCTAAATGCCTGCTATCCATTTGTTTTCAAATATTGAGTGATTACCTGTTGTATCCCTAGGCATTTTCCTTTGGATAGTCTGTTTCTTTTGTAAGAGGAGTGTGGGTGTCTTGGTGATAGGAATGAGTAGTTCTGTACATCTGAAGAGAGGTGATCCTATACCTGTGAATCACATAGTATGTTAAACAATACTACGGCAATAAAAATAAAATAATAACAGACCATTAGACTTGTATTAATGACTCCTGTCATATATTACACCTATTTTGAACTGTATGTTTGGGAGGTCCTTAGAATTCAGCTGTTGCCTTGAAGTTGCTGTTACTTCATTGATTCCACAATCAAGTAATCATGTCCAAGTCACTATCCTTGATTTTTTTTGAGATTTATTTTATTTATTAATACAGAACTGGGATACAGGCCAGAGTTGCAGGGGTGGTGAGAGG